TAAAATGTATTTTTTATCTATTTAACTTTTAATATTAAAAGATAATTATATCATTATGAATATTAAAATATTTTAATTATATCTTTTGTGTATTTCAAATTAAAAGATATTTATTATATATATGAATTTGAACATTAAAATATATCTATTTTAAGTAAATATTCTTTGAGAATCCCCCATAAATATTGTGCTAACCTACTAGGTTAAACACATCTCAAAATTTAATAACTTCAAACAACTTGAGAATTCTTTTTTCTTTTTCCTCTAGTTTTTCGGTGATAGGCAAAGGCAAGAGATAGTTTGTGATCTATACAGTTGTACTATTGTAGTTGATCATCTAGTTATTGTATCTAGGGAGATAGACTTCCAATGATGTCGATCACCAAGGAGTGGTCGAAAATCTGTCTTAAGGAAACTGTGTAGCGACATGTCTCAACTCATTTTCGATTTATAGATCTATAAAAAAGAGTATTTTTCTTTCTATACAATTTTTATTTTTTATTTTTAAGAAGTTTAACTTCCTTTATTTTTTATTTTTTATTTTTGCATGTTTGATTATTGTCTCAAATTGTTATTATTTTATAACATATGTCACTTTACTTTGTTGTTTTGGCTTTGTTGTTCACTATGTGACGATCATGCTTTGTTGAGTTATTACCACTTGTTGCTCATATGCTTATTCTTAGTTGAAGTGATGTATCTTGAGTTTTCTGTTGTTGTATGATTTTTTTTTATATTTCTAGGATTGATATGCTTGTAACATCAGTCTATTCATTCTGATTTGGTTGGATGATGTTTTTAAATGTTTCTAAATATTGCTAGTATATTTTAATATTGTGGATGTTATATAAGTTTTATTAGGCTATTCTTTTAATATGTTATTTTCTGTTTGTTTGGTAACATTTTTGAAAATATATAAATGAACATGTTCGTGAATGTTAAATGAACATATTCATGAACAATAAACGAACTTGTTCAAATGCTAAACGAATATGTACGCGAACACTAAATGAACATATAAATGAAAGCTAAATGAACATGTTTGCGAATATTTAAGCGAATATGTTCGCAAATATTTAAACCAACATGTTCACTGATATTTAAATGAACAGGTTTGGAAACATTAAATGAACACGTCCATGAACATTACATAAACAAACATAAACACCTTTAAAAATAAATAAACGAACATGAACACAATATTTAAAAATTAAATGAAGACTATCCGAACATGAACACATTTAAAAACAAACAAACGCAAACTCAATCTTATTCCTTCAAACTTAATTCATTTTACACTCATATTTATTACAAGTATCTTAATCCGTACCTTAACTTAAACCTGATCCAGTTTCTCAATTCTCACCCGTGCATAATTAGAAAACCGACACAAAATAGTGTATCTATACCCAAAACCCAACATGTCACCCTTGAGAAGCTCAAGTTCCAATCAGGTCGATGTAACATTTGGGCTTCAGACTCCAGCCCAAATCAGCTCAATTATAGTTATATAAGCCTACTTATAGATTCATTTGGCAATTCATAAGGCCTACACGGTGATATGCCCCCCTTAATTTGTTGGCTGATTTATCTTTTCACTTTGTTGGTGGTCTTTGATTACGACTTTTGGAACTACTAATTAAAATTAAATCCGTGTTAATAAAATTAGTATATTTAATATTTATATAAAACTAAAAGTTGTACAATCATTATATAATGATGAAATTGATAAGAAAACATCACCAAGATAATAGACTTATGAGACAATCACATTTTTGAGTCCCGTAATACTCGTACCCAGACTCCATCAATAGAAGCAACCAAACAGCAGCTTCAAAATTATTTACTAATCAGTTCTCAAATAAAAAACCAATATAAAAATGTATTAATTATTCGAGAAGTAAAAAATGTTCATGTACATATTAATACTTATAAAATATTGTTATGTCAATCAGTCAACGTGAGCTTGCTATATATCCAAGGCATGAACCATAAAGACTGGGTATTGGCTCAATTGGGAAATCATAATTGTAATAGCAATTGATTTAAATTGCCTGAAAGTGGCGGAGTGGGTGGGAAAAGCTGCACCGAAGTAAATCTTAGGGGATAACTGTAATTGAATATGCAGGTGCTTGTTGGAACCAACTTTGGGAATGGCAGGGATATAATATTACAAGCAAAGTCAGCACAATAGCTACACCCCATGAAAATGTCACAGCTCTGGGACATTTAATGGTTGGCACTTGGACCATATATTTTAATATAACAATGCTAATATCTATTACGTGAAATGGAGTGCAAAGCAAAGGAAAGCGGCAAACGCTGTATTTGTACTGGGCGGTAATCGAGGCTAGTCGAACTCTAGTATTGTTTAATTTAATTTAACTCAAAAAGTTAAAAGATGTGTTAACTTAATTTAAAAACTCATGAGTTTAAAATTATTAAGTTTAACTCAAATTTGAAATCAAAAATTGAAATTCAACTTGATTTGAAACCTCGACTAGAAATCAAAAATTGAAGTTCGACTTGACCTCGATTGAAACTCGAACTCGATTGAAACTCGAACTCGAGTTCAAACATGATCCTTAAATATATGAAAATCTTATATTGTATTTTTAAAAATAAACCAACAACATATAAATGTTAATGTCAAGTCCATCTCAAAAGATATGTTGATCATGTGCTATTTTTTAAATGAGACCCCTAAAATATTTTATAATAAGGTGAAATTGTAAAACATTAAAATTTAAGAGGATCGAGACTAGGACATGAATAAGATTTTTTGTCCGTTAAACACCATAAATTTGGTGATTTTTTTTAGAAAGAATTGGTTGCAATTGAATTCAGGAGATAATAAGAGAGAAAATTCGAAGTTTTTATTTGTTAAAATATGTCAAGAAAAAATCATTATTTATAAGTTAGCAGCATTTTTTTAAAGTATGGGCCTCAAATTTTGGGGTCCTGCGACATATCACATGCTATATTTACCAATGAACATGCAAGCTTTATATTATTAAAAATTTAATATTTTAAAAAAAATAAAATTTTAATATATTATTTTTAAATTATTCATGAATTTTATGAATCAGGTATTAAATAATTCATTTGGATTTATTAAGAATTTAAATCAAGTTCATTTAATTCCAATGTTGATGGAGCTATCGCATCTCATTTACGGATTTGTACTATTTCAATTCTATTGGATTGAAATGATATTTGTTAAAGGTGTTAATTAAGTGCACCTCATTAATATTGCTCAATTCCCTGAACTCTCGATCATCTCGTTTATGTTGTAAGACACTAGAAGTAGGATATAATAATGTAGTATTACGTAGCAATTAATGAGGGTAGGTTATGATTTTGGTATGAGAATTATTAATTTATTTATCGTTCTCATCGTCATTGTTCTCTTAATTAAATAGATACACCAACATTAAATATCATGAAATCAATAAGCTTCTCGTTCCATTTTTTCCCATCATTACAGTTTTTATAATGCACATATACATCCGTTCTTGTGTTAACATCTAGCACTTTACATGTTGGAATAAAACATGATAAAGTTAATAAAAAAAGATTTACAACATGATTATTTCAAAGGAATAAAAATAAATAAATTTTACGAAATGGAATAAAACTTTAAGGACGGGTGTTGGATCTTTGAATAAACACATGTAGGTTATTTCTACATTATATTATGATCTAAAACTCATGATACGTGAATTCATATACATTGGGCATCTTAAAACAACAAAAGAATGATTTCCTGCGTGCATCGTCTTCAGTAAAATCATCATATCTCGAGTTCCCAATATCGGATTGATGCGATTCAAGAACCGTTGGAAAGATAAGAGATAGACGGTTGTATCTCCAGAAGATATGTTGACCGGATAACAACTGGATACCCTTCAGAAAGTTGTTGCAAATATGCTGCTATTAGACCCTTACAGATGAATGCTTGAACTACGATTTGAAGCTTGTCTTTAAGAAGTTTGGTCCAGCCTCGTGTGATAGAGCCAAGTGGTATAGTAAATTCATCATCCTTAGCTTTAGGGTGTGTGGTGCATGTATCATCTCTCCCTTCCTTAAAAGGATTCGTCCACGAATCTGAAATATCAAAAGGAGATAAGTCAGAAACATTAAAGGATGCACTCACGTTACACTCACCGGGAAGACCAATGCGGTAGGCATTGTCATTGATTCGTTCAAGGACTTGGAATGGGACATCGCCTCATAGGTCTAGCCTGGATTTCCTTTGTGTCGGGAACCTCTCTTTTCTCATGTGAACCCATACCCAATCTCCTGGTTTAAAGGTGACATGTCGTCGGCCCTTGTTAACTCAGTTTGCAATTGCCTCGTAGGTTTTCTCCATCTTGAATTTAGCTTTGGTGTGAATGTCTTTGATAAGGGCAGCCTTCTTTTCACCATCTAAACTAGAAACCTGATCTAAAGGTAAGGGAATAAGATCCAAAGTAGTTAATGGGTTAAAACCATAAACTATTTCGAATGGAGAATAACCTATTGTGGAGTGAATGGATCGATTATAAGAAAACTCAACAAAATGTAAACATTCTTCCCAATTACGAGTATTCTTACCTACCACAGTTCTTAGCAAAGATCCTAGAATTCGATTTATTACTTTGGTTGTCTATCGATTTGAGGATGACAAGAAGTGGAATAAAGAAGTTTTGTGCCAATCTTACCCTATAGTACCTTTCAAAAGTGGCTTATTAACTTAGTGTCACGATCGGACAAAATGGTGCGAGGAATACCATGAACGCGGACTATTTCTTGAAAGAATAATTCAGCAATGTGTGTGGCATCGTTCGTTTTATGGCAAGGAATAAAGTGTTCCATCTTTGAGAACCTGTCTACAACCACAAAAATACTATCTTGTCCTTTCTTAGTGCGGGGTAAGCCAAGTATAAAATCCATCAATAAATCGATCCAAGGAGAAGAAGAAATCGGTAAAGACGTGTACAAACCATTATGATTTACCTTTGGCTTTGCTTGTTTGCAAGTGATGCATGATTCACAAATCTTTTCCACTGTTTTATGCATGTGCAACCAAAAGAAGAGTTCCATGACCATATCGAGTGTTTTGTGAACACCGAAGTGTCCCATGAGTCCTTCGGCATGTGACTCGTGAACCAAGAACTCTCGCAAAGAGCCTTGTGGTATACACAACCTGTTCATGCGAAAAAGAAAGCCATCTACAAGATAAAACTTGTTAAAAACACCTTTTAAACATTGTTTATAAATCTCAGAAAAATCTGGATCGTTAGGATAAAGTTCTTTGATATGTGTAAAACCCAGAACAGTAGCATGCATTTGAGTGATAAGTGTGTATTATCGAGATAATGCATCAATTATGATGTTATCTTCCCCTTGTTTCTATTTGATGATATAAGGAAAAGATTCAATGAACTCAACCCATCTAGCATGTTGTTTGTTTAACTTACCTTATCCATTTAACCATTTGAGTGATTCATGGTCCGTGTGAATGACAAACTCTTTAGGGAGAAGATAGTGTTGCCACACTTCGAGTGCTTGGACGAGTGCAAGAAGTTCCTTGTCGTAGGTAGAGTAGTTTAATTGTGTACCTTTTAACTTTTAACTAAAGTAAGCGATAGGTTGTCTTTCTTACATGAGGAAGGCACCAATGCCTATGCCTAAAGCATCACATTCTAGCTGAAAGGTGTTAAAAAAATTGGGAAAACGAAGAATAGGGGAAGAACATAACTTATCTTTAAGAAGTTTAAAAACTTTTTATTGTAGTGTTCCCCATTTGAATTCAACTAAATTTTTGATGATCTCGGTTAATGGTGCAGCAATGGATGAGAAATCTTAGACAAAGCGATGGTGGAAACTTGCCAAACCATGAAAATATCTTACCTTGGTGATGAAAGTAGGCGTGGGCCATTCTTGAATTTCCTTGACCTTCTCTTTATGTACATGGATACCCTGTACACTAACTATAAAGCCTAAAAACATAAGCTTATCACTGCAAAACACACACTTATCCATGTTAGCATATAAATATTATCGTCGAAGAACTCCGAGAACCATTCGAACGTGAATGACATGAGAGTCAAGAGAAGATGAGTTTATAAGAATGTCATTAACGTAAATGACAACAAATTTACCTATAAACTCCTTAAGAACGTGATTAATTAATCTCATGAAGGTGCTTGGAGAGTTTGTGAGTCCAAAGGGCATAACAAGTCATTCATACAAGCCAAAATTTGTCTTGAATGTTATTTTCCATTAGTCACCTTCTTTCATTCGAATTTGGTGGTAACCACTCTTCAAATCAATTTTGGTGAATATACTTGCACCATGTAGTTCATCCAACATATGATCTAGGCGTGGAATAGGATGCCTATACTTGATTGTTATCCGATTGATAGGTCGGCAATCTACACACATTCGGAATGTGCCATCTTTCTTTGGAACTAGGATGACGGGAACCGTACAAGGACTAAGACTCTCACGGATGTGTCCTTTTTGTAACAATGAAACTATTTATCGTTCCAATTCCTTCGTTTCCTCAGGATTGCATCGATAAACGGGGCCATACCATAAAACGGAGTCCTTAAAACGAACTAGAATGCATGACCTATTTTGAAAAAGGGTCTCTCTCATGTCTTTTGCACTCGCATAAATATTTTGAGACACTCTTTTATTTTCACATTGAGGGTCACTCACCACCTGTGGGTCATTTGTTTGGATTTTATCGGTTGTGACCTATTTTGCCTTTTGTTTCAAGTTCCTTGTCTCCTTGAGAATTCGTTGTTGATCTATGAGAATCTCTTTGGAGGTAGAGGGTTAAGTCGGAATAATTTGCCTTTTATTGATATTGTATAAGTGTTCTTTCGGCCATAATATGTGACGTCGTTGTCGTATTGCCAAGGACATCCTAGGAGGATGTGGGATGCTTGCATCGGAATTACATCACACCATACGTCGTCACAATATTTTCCCATCTTGATATTAACGAGACATTGTTTAACCACCTTCATCTCGGCACTCTCATTAAGCCATTGTAAGCAATAAGGTTTCAGATGTCTTTGGCAAGGAAGTTTGAGTGATTCAACAACATTGGAGCTAATGACGTTGACACAATTACCATTGTCAATGATGATGGAGAATGATTGTTCCTTGATTACGCAGCGTGTGTAGAAGATTTTTGGAACGTTGTATGTCAGACTCGTCAGATGCTTGGATGTTCAAGGTATGACAGATCACCAAGATTGTGCTATTGTACTCATTGCTTCCATAGTCATCACTATCTTCTTTGGTTTCAGTATGTGTTGGAATATCGGGGATGTCGTCATCAGAGTCAGAATTATAAGATCCATCACCTAGTATGGTTAGGGTCCTCATGTTTGGACAATTACGGCTGATATGGCCTCTTCCTAAGCATTTAAAACACTTGATATCTCTTTCTCGGGTGTCATCTTTAGGGACTGGAAGTGTCTCATTCTTTGCTAGTTGTTTTTCCTTGTCGGGTTTTTCATCTCTCAACTTTTTTTGAGAAGATGGAGTAGAAGATGAGGAAGAATTTGAAGGATTACCTTGGTAAGAGAATGAAGTAACTTGGTAATGTTCTTTGAATTGGAATCTCCTTTGGATTTGTGCTTCGATTGTCATTTCTTTCTTTCGTGTATCTTCAAGGTGTTCGTATCCATGGAGATCAAGAAGATCAGTGATGTTTGAGTTTAAGCCGACGAAAAATCTTGACATGGTGTCCTTTTCCTCTTCGGTTATGTTAGCCCTATTGAGTAAGGACTGCATCTCCTTGTAGTAATCTTCAACTGAACTTCTACCTTGTCGAAGTCGGTGTAGTCATTGTTTAAGTTCTCATGTATAATGTGTCAGTAGAAATCGGTTCCTCATGACGTGTTTGAGTTCGGTCCAAGAAGTGATTGGTTGAATTTGGAAGTTGTCAATCTTTTTTCTTGTTTGCATCCATCAAGTGTGAGCATATCCTTCAAATTCCAAGGTGATGAGGGGAACTTGTTCAGTTTGGGGGCAGTCATGGTATGCAGACATGATATGATCTCGATTATGAGATTCGAGTCATATGTATTATTGCCCGATCGTGATTCTAGTAAGAACTTCGTAGTACTTTGATTGAAGACTGAAAATGTACAAACAATGTTATAAGAAGGGAAATATGTATATATAAATATGTGTATGAAAGTAATGGAAATGATAGAATGAAGTTGAAGTGGATTATAAATGAAATAAGTGTGGTGGTGATAGTGGTTGAATGGATGTAACGAAAATGGTGAAGGATTTTTGTGGTTGGCGTGGAGAATGATAGTAATTCAAAGGATGGATTGTGACCCTCTAACTATATATGAGTTAGGAACCAATAATATAATAAATATGGAATCGAAGTGATAGAGGGTGGAACGTGACCCACTAGCTATAGTAGAGCTAGGAACCAACACTATAACAAGATGAAATGGATGAAGGCTTCAAGTCCGACAAGAAACCGATAGAGTTCTAATCCAAGAACTAAAATGAAAGCAATCTTTCAAAGTATTTTCATAAATCAAATTGTCTTTACAAATGATACCAAAGGTACCTATTTATAGTATTTCTAAGAAGCATATGAAAAGACTCAAACGATGATAACATTCTCATCAATTTAGCAATAAAATGCACTTGAATGCTTTGTCTTCTTATCTTCAAAGTTGGATGAATATTCTAGATCATTTTGGGGATGAATCTAGATAATTTGAAGCTGAATATGGCCTTAATTTCGTCCAAGAAGGAGGGGTGACTATTGGGTTGCATTTCTTTGCTTGCAAATGGAAGAAAAGAGGTTAAATGAAGTCATATGATGAATGTGGACATCCTACATGTCCAAATCAGCTTGTCTCTTCAAATTACTTGCTTATTTTATCACTTAATTTGGTGATTAAATGAAATAAAATCATCCTTCATTGCTTGTTCCCTTGAAGAATATGATCAGCCTTCAAAAGATGATAAAGGCATTGAATGCTAAGTTTTGAATGATGGTTATTGCATGTCCCCTTGCTTGAACATGAATGGCCTTCAATGGGTAATAACATCAACCTTGAATGCCTTGAATTAGTGAATTAAGATGGCCATCAATTGGTTATCTCTTGGTAGAAGATGAAAGGACTCTTCCTTGGTTCAAAGTCATCCATATAATCCATGCATGAAATTCCCGTAATGAAAATTCCAGCCTACAATTTCTTTGGTAATTCGATCATATCTCAAGCTCCCGATATCGGATTGAGGTGATTCAAAAGGCGTTGGAAAGATAAGAGATAGATGAATAATTTCCAATTGGTTTATGGACCCAAAAATATCTGTATCGCATCCAGAATTAGAATACATTCTGACTGATATTCTTGAATCTGTTGAGACTGTTCAGCTTTCCTCTTGCACCTAAACACAAAGATAAACTTTATTCAATCATAACATGTAAATATGCATGGGATAATTAAGAGTTAGTTTGATTAATGAACTAACTTTATTCAATGAACTAGATGCATGAATGAAGTAGCTTACTAAATGATCTAAATATGCATAATTGAACTACTTCCCTAAATGAACTAGATGATTTAAATGCAATGCATGCTTAAATGAACAACATACTTATTAAATGAAATGAATGTCATGAAAATTCATGCAATGAATGATATCATATGATAAACATATCCTAAGAGGTAAATAAAAACATATGATAAAATATAGTGCATAAATAAGCAGGTATAGGATGAAGTAAGGTAGAACCCCCTTTGAATTAGCCTTGGTGAACTTCAATGATTTAATTAGATCAAGAAGAAAATTAGGGCTGATTGGGATCACATCAGAACATGAGATCAAATTTTCCTTCCCAATCAATGTACTTGTCCGGATCGTAGTCTCTTTTAAAAGACGGGATCGTGAACTTTGATTTTGCAAAGAGTTCGGGTGCTTGAAAACGTGGTTGTGCTAGCCTGGGGGCCAAAAGTTTAGCATTGTTTGGCCTT